ACCGGGTGCTGTTAGATTTTCTACTCAAGGTGAGGTTTTTATTCCTTAATATTGTACAACATTTGCTTTGATGGCTAACTTACTAGGGAACTCCATTTCGTGACACTCTGTTTCGCAATGCGCCATCCCGCCCCCAAGCAGTATAATGTAACATTCTTCTCTTTCCCAAGTTCTTAAGCAGATAATATAAAGACACATTGTCACATATAAGGGTCTAACTCGAGGTGTCCAACCTTGGCAACTTTAAGAACTGTGGAGTTCAACTACCAGAGTTCCCCAGCCTGCCATGTTTACAGGTCTTAATATTGCCAAGGTTGGACACTCTTGGTCTAACCAAAGTGATATGGTTTAAGGAGCCATGTTTGGTATTAGTTATTTTGTAGTTTATCAAATGCCAAGAAGCTACTTACATTGGACTGCAGTTTCATTTTAAAAACTCTAAATGGAACATTGAATATGGTTATTTACATACTTTCCCCCTCTGGCTAGCGATGTAAAAGAAACATATTGCTGGTGAACTGGAAAAACTTCATTCCCATTTTTTCACTCTAATAACAAGCTTCCCCAATTGGCGCTCTCTCCATCAACGCCCACCAATATATTGGTGGGCGTTGATGGAGAGAGCGCCAATATACTGGTGGGTGTTGATGGAGAGAGCGCCAATTGGGGAAGCTTGTTGCGATATGGAGTGGTGGAGTTGAAGTCCAATATAGTTGAAGAGACCACATGAAGGAAGTTGGATTTATCTTTGTAACAGGGATGATTGGCTGGTGGGGAAGCAACTGCTATCACAGACTGAACCAATTGGTGGAATATTTATTTATTTATTCATTCATACATATATATCTGCAAATTCATTGGAAGCCTTGAGTGGGAACACTTTAGAACATGGTTGTCTAATCTTTTGGCTGGCCTATGCCACAAAGAGTGAAGAGAAATGTTCTTGGGCCACACACAAAATACAGTTAATGTATATAAATAATAAACTTCCTTTATTTTTTAATATTTTTTATGATTTTGTGGGGCTCATTACAAACCGTCGGGGGCCGCATGAGGCTCATGGGCTATGGGTTGGACACGCCTTCTTTAGAGGATGAAGAAATCAGGGATAATTTTGATTTGTATTTTGGCTTTGCCTTCACATAATAAAATGATATGAAATCCAGCTTCCATGAAATCCTGTTATATTCTGTTATATCTTTGGAAAATTTAGTCTTATAGGATGAGCATTGATACAATTGATATTTATTATTTACTGAGTCTGCATTAGATCTGCAATAATTTGACAGTTACAGTGGCTCTTGACTTTTTATTTATTTCTTTGATTGCCAAATGCCATTATTTTCTAAAATGAATTTTGCAGCAAGTTTTTTTTTAAAAGATACCAAGGCGGTTCAGAGTTGCTAAATAATATCCAGTGAAATACAATTATATTCTTCCCTGTGGAGCCCGTACATTGTCCAAAATATTTTTATAGAAGACTGGGCCCTTATAAAACAATGGAAGTGTGGGAGAGAGGTTTGGAGAGGGAGGAGAAAGTTGGGAACATTTTGCACAGATTTTGATAGTGTTTCCCCCCCCCCCCCCCATTATTTTGAAATCGTTTGGGGCTTTCCAGAGACCCTTACGCAAACATGCAGCTTACTCAGAAGTGTTTCTTATGAAATTATTTTCCTACCAAAATCTTTTTCTTTGCAATATTGAATCCACAGAAAAGAACCAAATGTACACCTTTGGGGAGTGGCTTTCTTTCTTTTTCTTTTTTCTTTTTAAAGTGTGATCTTTATTTTGAGACTCACGCAAATATATTTGTTTCCCATTTTGAAAGAGTAGACAGTATGACAAAATGCAAGAAAATGTGATTCAGTGATCAAGGTCATAAAGACTCGAGAGCAGTGGTGTCCAGCCTTAGCAACTTTAAGACCTGTAGATTTTAACTATCAGAATTGCTGGCAGTTGCATGCTGGCTGGGGAATTCTGGGAGTTGAAGTCCACAAGTCTTAAAGTTGCCAAGGTTGGACACTCCTGTTCTAGAGGCTGCATGTGATCCTAGAGCACCTTCAGTTGCGACCCTTTATGCTAAGGCAATGGTGCAGTTTTTCTGCAGAAGAGTGATAGAGCATTTGTGGTGAGGAACACTGTGCACAAATTCCATTCTCTCTATTCTCCTGAAATCCTTGGCCTTTAATACAGATTAAGCCTCACTTAGTACTGCCATTTTTCTCCTCAGGCATCTTTAATTCACTTTTATTTTTGCAGTGTTCTTTGGGGGGCTTACAAGAAGTTGGAACCAGAAAATACAATGTTTTTGGTATTCTTAACACCATGAAAGCAGCATATTTCAGGGGATTATAGTCTGTTAATGCCTGGATTTACACACACACACACACACACACACACACACACACACACACCTGTATGTGTCTTACCCACATCACCATTTCTTAACTTTAAATCTTTCAGTGTACAGTACAGCCTTGGTGCCACCCAAGGCTTTAATAATGATAATATTTCTCTAATGTCTATTACTGGGGGACTTGAGAGCACTCAACATTTATGAATACAGCCTTGCCACATTGCAGAGACAAATGAACTCTATTTTACAAAGTCCAATCTCACCAAGGGACTTAAAAAGATGAGATGCTTAACTGACATCACTGCTTAGCTGACCCACCTGAAGGTTTAAGTATATCTTATTTAAAAATAAGCACCTTATAGTTCTGTTTCACATTATGCACTTCAGTGGCTTAAAATCAGGAGGTTATGAGCTAGTAAGATAAATGATCTTTTTCCACGGTCTTAAGGAGTATTTCTGATCATCGGTTTTTCACAGAGATTCTTCTTAAAGTTGTCTATGTTTGACTGATGAAGGAAAAAGGAAATCCACCTTGAAAGCATAAATATATCACGTGCTACACAGATTCATAGAATTTGAAAGACTGTTTAGACCAAATCCAATTCCTTGTTAATGCAGGAATCAAAATTAAAGCACTCAGCCTGTCAGATGACTATATGCTGAGCATATCCAGCACCAGAGAGCCTTCCACTTCCACTTCTTAAGGTTATTTGTTCCATTATCTTACAAGCTGCTTTTGCTCTTAGGAAGATTTTCTGAACATTCACCGTCTCTCTTCCCCCACCTTCTCTGTCTCTCCCCCTCTCTCTCTCCTCCACATAAGAGAAGCTGAAAGGCAGACCTCTTCTTCCCTATCAACACTGATTGGTCCTCAAATGTGGAGGAGATCTACAATATATTTTGCCTTGTCACTCCTAACCTCTGGAGCTGGCCCAAAAGGATATCATGGAAGATAGTATTGAAGGCTGATGAGAGATCAAGAGAAATAAGAGCGCAATACTATCCCTCTAGTGGTCAAACAGTGTGACCAATGTCATCTCAGTTCCATACTGAATCCTCAACTGCAAGGGGACTGCACGATTCGCTTCAAACAGGACCCTCTGAAGCTTGCTTTAAAAAGACAGAGCAAAGGCCCCTTACCACTGCCTCATATCTAATGGGATCATGTTTGCAGTGGCATATGTGCATGTTTGGTTTTTTTTGCTATACTGATCGTGTTTACAAGAAGACTTGATCCCAATCTGTGGTTAGTCAATCATTTAGAAAGAAAATTTCCATCATACACAGTATAGCTGTCCATATAGCATTGTGTCCAGAATATTTGGAAAGGCACCCACATAAGCTATGAGCCTAATTTTATTCTTGGCCCTGTACTCACTACTTAAAAACATGTGAGTAATGGCTATGAATTATCAGGAGCAAAACCTCCGACTGATGCGAGGATAGGAAAAACAGCATGTGTGTTTTCTTTCACAAAGTTTGGTTAAAGGTTAGGAAGATAAGTAGCTTGTCTGTCCTCAGAGGCAAAGAGTGAACTGGGGGAGACAGCTAGTTCCCAGTCTTGTGTCTTAAAACTCAAGGCAATACTTCCTTTTTCCTGAGCTTGAAGTCATTTCGCATTTCTATTGATATCGGAAATCTCCGTAGCTCAGCAGTGTGTTCTTGGTGCCAGACAGGCAGACACACATCTTGATCAAATAGATTAGTTTTCCCTTGCGGTTATGATTTAGTTTTTAAAAGAAACAGAATAAAGGACATTTCAGCAATGAAGACTTAGCTTGCTGGGTGTCAGATGTGTTGAGTAGGGTTTTCTCATTCTTTATTGTTAACTGAACGGATAACATTCTTGCCTTGTTTTTCCCCACCTATTTTACTACATTTTTTTATACGTGCTTTGTGTCTGTATATAGAAATTTTTAGGATAGATTTTTCAATTTTTAATCAAAACACTGTATTTAGTAAACGGTGTTACTGTTTAAAAAATATTTTAACGATAAGAACACCACAGTAGCAGTTTGTGCCTTAGTTTAAAATGGAGTGTGGTTTATTAGAGAGTCCAGCTACATAAAGCAGGAATGAGTGTGGCACAAAGATTAAACACAGCCTCTGGTTGATATGTGTTGCTTGCTAAAGATCTCATAACTCTCTGTGGATCTAGGAAGCCACTAATCCATGGATGGCTGGGGAATTCTGGGATCTCTTCATACTGCACTAATCAGTTAGTTGCACAAACCTGGAGCCCCATTTGTGGAAGCCAACAATGGCTTGGATTCTCTTTCTCTACCTTTGGTACTTTTTGTGCCCCCCCCCCCGATTTTTGCTTCCTCTCTGTCACTATTGCTTTGCTGGGAGCAATGGGAAGCCATGAGGGCTCCCATCTATTCATAGCAGACAAGACTAATTGCTAAAATCGAATTGCTGGCTTTTGTGTAAGAGTGCTCATCTTCTGTGATGGGCAAAGGCAGTTTCTAAGGTGTGACCTGGAAACTGCTGGAGCCTTCAGGACACCAAAGGTTGCTCATGTGTAGAAGATGATCAGTCTGAGCCGGAGGGCGGGGTCAAACATGTCATGAGTTTGAGTTTCGCTATTCTCCCACAAGAAACCTAAATCCAGCTCCCCATGAATTCCGTGGACGCTTATCTACTACCTACTTGCCTTGACCATCAGTAGACCAGATTGTTGTGTATAGGCAGCATGAAATAAACTCAGGAGTGATGGAAAGAGAAACCATACAAGCTTTTAGGATAGTGCTAAGTCCACTTTTCCCTCTCTCTTGTTCACGGGGGGTGGGGGTGGGGGGATGGGGAATCATTTATTAATAGCTATGAGGAAAGTAAATCCATTATATCATCTATGGCAAACTGAATGTCTCGAACTGGATACAGTCCCCAATTCCTGTGTAGATAAAAACAGATCAAAGTTTCTAGTTGAGGTCAAGAATGTTAACATGATGAAAATCTTCTGGTCTTGAAATCAGAGGTTATTTTAAAAACTGGCCATTAGCTAATGAAAAGAACTAAAAACTTAAACAGATCCCATCTAGCCCAGCAGTCTGTTCTCACAGTGGCCAACCAATTGTACAAATAAATCTTCCACTAATCTTCCATGGCCTTCGTGACATGTTTCATCTAGGCCCATAGCCATTGATCTGCATGACTTCCATGAATTGGTCCAAACTTTTTGTTAAGCCAGCTAGGCTGGTATCCTGCATAACATCTCGTGATAGTAAATTCCAGGGTTGCTTATCAATACCATAGTCTCTTCAGAACCTCCTTTCAATATAGTAGTCAATTAACACAAAAACAAAACAAAGCATTGAGTGTTTTGTGTTCAAGAACAGCTATTAATGAGATGTTGAAATGAGATGATTTCTTCAATTTTGAATGCTAGAGGCATATTTGACACTCCTTCCACTACCCCCAGTCCCCACCCCAAAAGCACATAAAATTTAGCATGGTGTACGAAATTGGCTGTGGAACACAAAAGATATTTTTAGATTTTAACAACATTGATTTTAACTGCTGCAATGGTATCCTTTTTGCTGTCTTGATAAGAATGGGTGTGTCAAAAATAACTGCAAGGAGGGAAGGGCAACTGAAGAAGGAACATAGTGTTTTATTTTGCTTTTTTTTTACTTTTGGATGTGGTTTTCTATAATGATTTTTAATTAGTTACGCTCAGGATATAAAACTTGTGACTGTTGTTTGGCTTGGTACTGATGGAATGTCACATTATTATCACATGGTGAGGCATTAAATTTATTTACTTTACATAAACAACCTCTACTTAAAACAACTTGATTCAGAGCATTCCTTCATCAATGGACAGCATTATGTAGATCTTAGTATATCATTTTATGTTAGCAGCATAAAAAATAGCACCATTGTTTGCCCATGACTAGCATTTACAGTAAACAAAATGTTTTTTGAAGACAATGTAAGCAAACTTGAGAGCAGCTGCCAGGAGATGAAATCGAGTTGTGTTGCTGCTTTGCCGTGACTCTGTGTAGGATGGGTGCTGCATATTTCCAAAGGAAATTTTTCTTTCAGCATATGGAGGAGCAAATCCAAGCACAAAAACCTTTATCCCGCTGAGTCCCGGACAGTACTTGATCACTTGTGGAGAGGCTTGTACTGTATCTTGTGCCAAATAGAAAAAGTGGTGCTTTATCCACTGGGCAAATTCCAATTGATTAGAAAACAAAAGGATCTGTTACAAATGGGTTTGCCATGTCCGTGACAAAGCAGTGGAGTTTTACAGTCTTTTTTTTTTTTTTGTCTTTTTTTTTTTTCTTTAAAAAAAGCTGCCCTCTGAGTTTTGCAATATTATTATATTGCATTTAGCCTGATTTAGATAAATACATCTAATCTAGCTTTTTGCCATGAAGAGATCAAGCAATGTGAAGCTATCAGACTTTGCTTGCCTCCCAGTCAGTTTGCCATTTGCCACAATTGTATAGTGCCTCGGTTGCAGCTGGCTGATCCCAAAAAGGTAGAATGGAAGTCCTTGGACAGGTAGAAGGCAAATTGTGTCTAGGCCTGATATTCAGAGCAAGATAAATTGCAATGTACTGTATACCAAGTATTCTGGACCATTATTTCTCAACCTTTGCAACTTCAAGGTAGGTGGACTTCAACTCTCAGTATTCTCCAGCCGGTGTTAAAGTTGCTAATAGTGAAAAGCACTGCTCTAGACATTAGGACATTTTCATGTGGGAAGCTAAAAAATGTCACATACTAAGAGACGATTAGTCCAGCTTGTTCAGAGCTACCTACGTTGATTGGTCATGTTTTCCCCACCCAAATACTCATCCAGCCTAACTCGGCTTGACTTCCCAATCTAACCAAAGTAGGCCAAGTCCTACATCATCTGGAAAGTGTAGACTGCAGACCTGCTGGTCATAGGAGTTGCCTTATACACTATTATTTTCTCCATTAAAAAGGTATATTCTGAAATTCCTCTGTAAGGGATTCAAAGTACTATTGGCTGGAGATAATGGGTGTTGTAGTCCCACACATCTGGATCATGGAAAACTGGATCAATGTAAATCACTTTGTAGCTTAGTAATGCATTTTATAAATTTAGTCAATATAAGAGGGCTTTAAGAATGTTATTATTTAATGATCTTTCTGCACTTCTTTCTGTCAAAGGTTTTTTCACACTTCAAATTGAACCTGGTTATGTATAAGATAGGATTTGTTATCTTTGTTACAATGTTTTTCTTAATTTTTTTTACACTTTTAATACATTCCTAGAGTCAATCCTATAAATGTATATTCAAAAGTAATCCCCAATATGTTCAATATGGCTGATATTGTGATTTATTTCTCAGTAATAAATTCCAATAGTATGATGTAAGATTGAAACTTTGCATTGCAACCCCATGCATGCCTATTCAAAGATAAACTCTTCAGAGTTCAATAGGATTTCGCCTCAGAAAAGCGAAAACAATATTGTTGTCTCACTTGCCTTTGAAGACTGAACCACTCTTGAAATTATTTTGTAAGAAACTAAGTTTGGGCTGTATTGATTTTGTGTGGCATCTTTTGCTTTAGGTGAGATTTTAATCTGTCTAGCAGAGAAATGCTTCTTAGTGGGAAGAAAAATGATTAGTCCTCCATTATTCTTTTGGCCTCTGAATATTGTAGGATATAATGCTTTATTCACTGTATAAAATTTGGTCATCTTAATCTTTGGCGTAGCAGTAGTTAAGATGTCAATTTTAAAATACAACATTAGAGGTATGTAACATCATAGTTTGCAGTAATGTTAGATATTTTGAAAGCAAACTGAATGCTTCAAGTGTAGTTTAATGTTCTATACTTTCTAGGTTAAATGTTACTTATTAGGTTGGCTGTGATACTCATTTACAGAAAATATATACCTGAATATCTTAAATTATATTCAAAATCAAATATACAAATGCCAGCTTACCAAATTGCATTCCTTATAGGCAAACCTTTCAGAATTGCCTCATGAACTCGGATCCAATTGTTGTAGGCTTTTATTTCTTATAGTTTTTTTTTCAGTGAGCCTTACAATAATATAGGAATATGAATATCAAGTGAAATGAAAACTTAAATTATAAAATGTTATCAGTACTGTGTTCCTACATGACTACAAATGCTCAAAAAGAATACCTGTTTCTTTTCTTTCAGACATGTAATGGTTATTTAAAATAAAACAGGGTGTGGGAAGGCACAACTGAGGGGATTAATAGCAATTACTTTTAAAGAGGTGTAAATAACTTGCTATCCAGACATTACAAATATCCAGGTGCTCTCTATGTGCTGATGACAACAACATTGAAAAGAAAGACGGTAATAATTCTGACTGGTTTTCTCTGCAGAAGATATTGATTATTTGTGTGTGGTGAGAGATTTGGAAAATTCAATTAAAGGAGTTGTGCAAAGGTTTCATAAATTTTCCTTGTACAGCGTGTACACAGACAATGTTATGTATTAAATCAATGCAGCACTTCACAATATATTTTCTTTGAAACATAAAAATAAATAACATTTAAACAGTTCTGCTTACTACAGAAACAAGTTTTATTTTCTGCGAAGCATTTAGTCATGTGCTATCACTGACTCATACACATTTGCCAGCTGTAACAAATTTTATAGACATTTTCTCCAGAGACATAGTTCATGTACTATGAATTTTTAAATGAGCAAATGGTGAAGAGGAGATGTCAGCAATATAAAAATTGATCAGTTAAAAGATAAAAGCATAAGTAAAGAGATTTGTATGGTAGTCTTAATAGGTTTTATTAAATAAAAATACTATAAAAAGAACCATAATGAATAGTCTAAAGATTTTAACTGTGCTTGAGGGTTATGGAGAAAAATTATTCTGGCACATTTAAGAAAGAGGTTTTATATCAGCAGTCAAGTGACCATTTTTTCCTTGTCTCTACTTTCCCTATCCACTTTGGAGTTGCACATGGCTTTAAATGCTCTAACTTTGCATGCATTTGCAAAAATCAAAGCAAAAATCCAGAATAAACTTTTAGAGAGCTCGTGGTCTCTTGTGATATGGACCAGATTCTGATTGACTTCACCCAATAGTTACAAATACCACTTGAAGTTGAATGTCCCATGTTACTTCTAGAAAATTATCTTACTCTTTCTTGTGAAAGAGAGAAAAGGGGGGAAGGAAAGTGCGAAAAAAGTTTTAACAACATAGGTCCCTTTCTCTGTAATTGTGACTATTAAAAAAACAGGACAAAATGACTAATGCAATGGAAATGGAATGGGAATAACTTTGACAGTGTACTAGATTTTGTTTTTTGTTTATCTACCTTCATAGTTATAAGACACTAGTAATCCTTAAAAAGTAAATAAATATCCATTCTGGCCACTGCTGTTCAGCTGAAAAATCTTCAGCCACATGTATTTGAATTTAATAGGAAGTTGTACTCTATAAATGGCTCATTTATAAGTGGGAAGAACTGCAACTTGAGTGTGTTAAAACATCATGTTAAGTGTAAATTGTCTTGTTTTGCAGAGAATCTCCAACCTGCCAATAGCTTTGCATTCCTGAAATCTCTCATTGGCTAAGGTGAGAAGACATTAATGCTTTAAACATACAATATAGAAAATCATGTAATGGGATCTTTTGCGGGGATTATCAATCTCTGTCAGTATTAAATTTTTAGTGTAACATAATTTATAAAAAAAACTATTTCAAAAGTGTTCATCTCATTGAATTAGTCAATGGAAAAACAACTCAAATGTGATAATTATTTTCTCTGCAAATTGGTGATTCTCAAATGGCAAAATGTTTTGCAAAAAAAAATTGTGCTGTTTCAGATATGATATAATAAAAAGCATTCTTTAATCCAATTGTATATTCATAGGTTTTAATTCCATACTTGCATTATTCAGAGGGAATCCCATTTTGTGTGTATTTTAATGTGTATATAAATATTTGTTAGGATTTTTTTTTAAAAAAGATTGGATGGTCATCAAAGTAAAGTTGATAAGGATTTCAATAATTTTTGTGCCATATTCAAGAGTTTTACTTTTACATGGGTACTCAAGATGGACCGTTTGATATTTGTTTTTAGAAATGCATTTCGTTCAGCCCTCATCAGATAGATGGTCATATTTCAGAACATATTTCAGTTTCCTTTTGTAATTTTTTAAAATCATGCTGTGCTAGACCAGTGCTAGTTAGAACAAATTTTCATGAAGTAATCTTCATCAAATTGAATGTTATTTATTCCTTACAGGATAAGGTTGTACTCATTTCAGTATATAGTATTTTCAAGACCATGGTTTTAAACAAAATTTACATATAAGTGCAGAATCGGTATTGTATCAACCCAGGCTGATTTATATTGGAATTTAAGGTGGCAACCCTGTGCTTCAGTATCAGTGAAAGTGGATGGTTCTGAGTTGCATAGTGGCCTGCTCACATTCTCATTCTATGAAATAAATATTGCTCCCTTGTTTGTTACTGTTAAAGCACCAGAGCAAGTGGACTGCAGTTTGTACTGCAGCTCTGATGCTTATAACTCTTATATTAATAAATATACCTTTATTGAAGAGTACAGCTGTAAGAAAAACAACAAATAGCACTGTCTTAGGTTGTTCAACTAGAAAGAAAAATGCACTCTGAACTGCTCAGGGGATGAAAGAAGCATATATACTTGGAGCTGAATCAGCAGAAGTTGAACAACAAAACTTAGTGCAGCACAAAACAAAAGCAGGGTGGGTTTTTTTTTGTTGCCAGTGAGAAAGCAATAGAGTTTCTTCATCCTTGGCGTTTTGAAACACAGTCCGAAAGCTCAGCAGGCCAGCATAAGAGCATGCACAAAGTGCATCCTAAACACCCAATAAGCCAAGAGAGGTTTGGCAATCTTAAAAATATCCTGAAGCCCAGCTTAAGATGCCAGATACTACTCAGAATAGGGATATTTACCAAAGCTCAACAAACAAACCAAGACAGAATTAGTAACACTGCAAAGCACAGTAATGCATGTATGAACACACAGACGTTTTACATTACTTGTCTGCAAAAGCAGGAATGTATGCTTATGAACAATGTAACTTGTTTATCCATGTGTACTTTTAATGCAGAAAAGATTTTTTTAAAAGACCGAAGTGATTTCACAGCACCCCTGCAGTAGTCTTATTCTTTTTGGCCATGTACTTTCTTTTCAACATTCTCCCCCTCTTATTGTATTCAATGTAAACCAGTAGTAGCAGGTACAATTCTGTGGGGTCCTTGGTGTTCTCTGAGCTTGGTTGTTTTCTTGGAGCTGTTTCATTATCCAGCGGATGCTGAGGATGCTGATAAGTCATCACTGATGATGCTATTTAGTTAGGTAATGAAATGTCTGCAAGAAAACAACCAAGCTCAGAGAACATCAAGGACCTCACATTTGCACTAATAGGGTTACCAGATTAGGGTTGCAGAAATCTGGTCAGCCACTAGGAGGCAATCAAAAGAGGGAAAAATCTACTTCTTTGCTGGACTCTATTAGTCATCCAGATTTTTGCAACCCAGTTCTGGAGGCATTACAAATAAGTAATTGTTTCTGGAATGAATTCCACATTTTCCTTCAATAGCAGCCTCAATTATTAATTTAATCAAAGTTGGGGGGGAGATTATTTTTGATATTTGTGTTGGATTTCCCCTGATCTGTTTTTCTGCTGGGCTGAACAATCCAGAACACAGCACTTAAAATGGCCAGGACATTGAAAACAATGAAAAAGCCAAGTTTTTTTTTAATCACTCACCAATTATTTTATTGAAACTATTTAGTGTCAGAGCATTTTACATATTCTTAACACAAATCAGAGGTATGTTTGTCTCAGGTGAGTCAATAATCTGTTATGAATGCAATCCAGATGAGTTAATGTCTAGGAGGCAGCATTCCCATTGGCTTTAAGAGGTAGGCAGAAGGCTGCTAGGGATCTACCAATGAAAAAGCAGCCAGCTTTCAGTCCCAGTAGAGATCCATAAAGGCAATTTTGTCTCAGAAAGCACAGGATAACTACTAAATCGTGGAATGTCTCTACATAACCTGTTCCAGAGAATAGTCTTGCTCAGGATGCTGGTACAGACACAATCGTTGCTCAGATCTAGTTAGATGGGCGTACTGATTGCCAACAACTTGTATCTTCTCATCTTGCTTAGGTAGTGTAAAGTATTTTATTTAATTTACTATTTAAGCCAACAGATGAACTCTCTCTTCTTGTTAATTTTCAGCTTTCCTCGTACATCGAGTATGAGGATAGTACATGCGAGTTCACCAATAATAATCCTAGATAAAGCAAGCAGGGTCCTGGTGGAATCGAGTGGATCATCTGATGAATGGCTTATCCTCTTCCTTTCCATTGGGAATACTTCTGCAACCAGGAGTGCACCCCACAGAGGAAGATTGATTAGCAGAGTTTGTTAATATGGTTATGTTTCTCCTTACTGTCAGAAAATTCAACAGGATTTGTAAACTTTTAAGTACCACTGGCTACCTAATAACAATAAAGGAGAATTCCAATAGATTATGAGTTATTGTCAGGCTGACAGTTGGCTCTGTGGCCCTCCAAAAGCAGCAGCTGCAATAGTAGTAGTAGGAATGTGTGTTCTCACTGTATCTCATAATCCTTGAGTTTTTATTAGCAGAGTGCATAATTAGAAAATAGAAAAATAACCTCCATTTATTGTAAAAAGGGGAATTTGCTGAAGAGACAAACTCATTTGTATTATTATAATAATCCATAATACATGTTTCAGAATCCAAACCTTTCAACATTTAAGTGTTATTATTGGTTCTTTGGTAGCTATAAATTGCCTGTTATCAAAGCAATTAAGAGCATTTATTTATTTGTGCCACAAAGACCAAATAATCAGCATGAAAACAACAGTGTTGTGTTAAACATCATCCTCTGTATTTTCTTGAAATATTTGGCTGTGCTTTCATTTTAAATAATAAGCTAAAATAGTTGTGAGCATTTGTATTGTAACAAATGTTTCCTTTTACATCAAGGAAAACAGGATATTTTCTTTCCTAATAGTTTGTATATGCTTGTATGTTGTATCTTTTAATTGTAATAAAAAGCAATGGTAAACTGTGTGACATTGGTGCTATTTCCTGTTATTTTAATTGTGTGTGTGTGTTTTTTTTAAACCCACAGGTCTTAAGAATATATCAAGCTTGGCTGCAAGATTCTCCAACTGCCTGATCCTACTTAAAAGGTTAAAAAAAACCCCTCCTGTAAATCTATCTCTCCAGCAAATACCAGCTAAGGATTGCTCAGTGTACCAGGCAGGTGCACATCTAGATACAGTTTCTTGCATCTAATTTAAACTTTACAATCTGTACAGCTAGTTAATCTCAATGTAAATAATACACTTGCCATAGCTTTTTATGCAAATATGTAATGGCATAAATTGTATTCTTTCTATTCCTTTCTAAACCTAAGAAAACTTGCCTGATGTGGGTAAAAATTCTTTAATAAGCTTTTCACTACATTTTTAAAGAAGGCCTGCTTTTAGAGATGGATGCTATTTCCCAGGCCTTCAAAGAAACTGCAAATTTCACAGTAATTATATGCTTCATGCTGCCTCTGATGGCTTGCCAATTCTACCACAAATAATGAAGATGCCTGGCCAATTTACAGCACATTGTTTATCTTATCAGCACACACAAATTCAAGCAAATATGCCATTTATCTTTGTATATAACCCTTCATTTGTTAATAAAGACTTATGAGATCCAAACATTTTATATGCAATTAGTTTTAGCAATGTTGGTTTCCCAGTGAAGTTCAGTTTTTTTGGTTAGTGAAACCATCTAACACTGGTATATGTTTTGTGTTATTGGAACTCAAACTGCTAAATACATTGAAGCACAATCCTTAAAAGGTTAAGTATTTTTGTGAAATAGTGTTTGCAAGCATAAACATTAAACTAGTTCTAATATAAGTTAAAGTTAAAGGTTCCCTTCACACATACATGCTAATCATTTCCGGCTCTAGGGGGTGGTGCTCATCTCCGTTACAAAGCCGAAGAGCCAGTGCTGTCCGAAAATTCTTGCTTAATGTCCACTTGTTCAGCGACCATTTCAAATTATGGCACTAAATGAGGGGTAATTACCCACGGATCCTTGTAGTTGTGACCATCACAGCATCCTCATGGTAGCTTTTTTTTACCAGTGCTCAAATTTACAACCATCCCAGCATGATCATGGGATCATGATTCAGGCACTTTGTAACTGGCTTACAATTACGTTGCAGAATCCCAATCATGTGATCACCAGCTGTGACCACTGCTATCACCGTCTAGGGAAGCCATCACAAATGGTGGTCACATGACTGGGACGTGACCACCTGGGATTTATCTAAATGACAGCAACACTGGGATCACTGGAATTAATGCTGTAAGTGCAGTCATGATACCACACATCTTGATTGAATATCAAAATAACAGAGTTGGAAGGGAGCTTGGAGGTCTTCTAGTCCAACCCCTGCTCAAGCAGGAAACTATACCATTTCAGACAAGTGATTGTCCAATCTCTTCTTAAAACCCTCCAGGGATGGAGCACACACAGCTTCTGAAGGGAAGCTGTTCCACTGATTATTTGTGACCCCTAGTCACAATTACTGTTGGTGATGACTACCTTTAAATGCATTGGGACCCATAAATGATTTCACATTTCAGTTTGCATATTAGAGGTACATTTTTAAGGCAGACAATTTTGAATGGAAGTAATGAAATGTTTTGTTTGCTTTATGAAAATGTATACTTTTCTAAGTTACTGATAGCTTAGTTTAGGAATAGCAAAGACTGGGGACTTGAAATTTACTATCTAATCTTCTTTAACTAACAGTCTTTATTATTTCTTTCTCTTACAAAAAAGAGAAAGAAAATAGATTGCTGCAGAAAACTTATTACCAAGAAATTATCATAAAACAAAAGAGCAACGCATCTAAGTCAAATGTTTTGTGTACTTGTACTCAGTAAAGGTATTTGACAACCTGGAATGTAAATTAAGAATTGTCATCTCTTTAAAAAAAATAACATAACATTTAAGAACCGCAGTGGTGCAGTGGTTAGAATGCAGTATTACAGCCAATTCTGCCGACTGCTGGCTGCCAGGAGTTTGGCAGTTCGAGTCTCAATGGCTCAAGGTTGACTTAGCCTTCCCTCCTTCTGAGGTTGGTAAAATGGGGACCCAGATTGTTGGAGGCAATATGATGACTCCGTAAACTGCTTACAGAGGGCTGTAAAGCACTGTAAAGCGGTATATAAGTCTAAGTGTTATTGCTATCTGTATGATTCTTAAATTTAGAAATAATTAGGAAGGAAAAAAACACATCTCAGGATACCATATTTGGAACACATATGTGTCTCCCTAGAGCCATCCGGACAGTGTCTCCAAGAATAAGGTTAATGAAATCAGAGGATTACTACAACAAGCTTTAGAAAAGGCCCATCTATATTTACTCAGGGTTAAATTGTGTAAATACACTGCAACAGATAGCTTGTAGCAGTCTAACACTGGGTGCTAACGTTCAGGAACATGGATGAATGCTTTACCATTGCACAGGCCTCCATAAGATTTAAATAGGCTATATATTCAGTAGAAAGAGCAAAACTACATTATTCTTCCATACAAGTTTGATACCAACACAATCAGTAGCTATCTATCAATCAAAGAGAGAACCGGCCTGGAGATGACTGGAGCTTTAAATTTGCATTTGCTCTTTGTACATAAACCATTATATCTTATAGCCCCTTTTTCTTGTTTTTCATGTTTAGCTGTTTGTGCCTTTTGAAAAGCTGCTCATGAGAAGGCACTATAGAAACAGCATTAAAAAAAAGTAGAAAGGGCTTCTGCTTGTATAGAACTATTCTGTACCATATTAGCATGCTTGGGAAAAATCACCATCTGCTTTCAAAAGGTATGAATTAGACTAGTTTAGTGTAGTGGTTCTGGTGTTGGACCAGGAGTGGAGGGCCTCAGTTCAAGGTCACTGAATGATCCTGGTCCAATTACACTCTCAGCTCAACCCCTTTCACAAGATGGTTATTTGGGGCGGGGAGAATGAGAGGGATGCTCTGTATGGGAAATTGTCTTCCTGTGGGAAAGCAAGATATAAATCTGATAAATTATAATAAAATTTGGTTTTAATACAGTCAAATTTTTATTTGATAATTTTCCATTTACTAGCTTTTTTCATTTGACATTTCAGTGTTAAAATGTATTTTTTCCCTAAAATGTATGTATGTTGTATGAAAACATACACATTGAAGGACAGGATTGATCATAGTTTTAAAGGCAGGAAAAAGGGATTATTCATAAAAGGTAATTGCTAATCATGCATATCAACATGATTCCAAAGAGCTTAATGCTTTACACCAAGTTGTAACGCAAGTTTAGTATACAACAAAGCTAGTTCTAAATTTCTTAATGACAACTTGTTTTGCTGATTTAGTGGAATTTACTTCTCTACAGGTTTCCAAAGGATGTCAACTACTAAAACATTATAGTTACCAGTTTTAGGCACTTCCCCTTTTCAAGCATAGCTGTCTAAATAAACAACCCTTTTATATTTCTATATAAGTAAATATCAGATAATTCTCCCTGTACCGAAAGCCATCATAAGGAGAAAGGAAACAATACATATAATACTAAGCTTTTTCTATGCTAATAAGCACTTGCTCTTAGCCTCTGATTACTAGGTGAGAAAAAGGATAGCATAGGGCAGGGGTAGGGAAACTTGGCTCTTTTATCACTTATGGATTTCAACTCCCAGAATTCCTGAGTGAGCCATAAAAGTTTCCCCATCCCTGGCCTACTGGTTTCTCAGTTGTGGGGGAAATCAATTTTTGACTTGAATGGGACTGTTTAATATACAAATGTAGGACATTTTAATATACAAATATATATTTCACAGTCCCATTCTGGGAGTTGAAGTCCATAAGTGATAAAAAAGCCAAGTTTCCCTACCCCTGGCATAGGGTAATAAAAACATGAGATCAATACAGTTAGCCCTTGATTTATGATTGGCCACTTTGCAACTGTTCAAGTTATGACAGATCCCCCAAATTAAATCTAATTTGTGTGCAACAGAAAGATATCAAATTCAATGGTACTATTTAATTGGTATGGTTTAGTAAGGTTAAAATGGAATATTATTTTTTCATACATGTATTTCTAGTAGGTAGCTGAATCTAGAGAAAAATCTATGGCAAGTGGACCTATTGTGCCTGTATTTTAAAGAACGTTACCCAATATAAGAGTTTAAATTTAAATCTGATAATATTTCGAATAATGCTTGAAATTCCAGTGCAGGCTGAGAATGGTTATGACACATCAGTAAAAATCAGTATTACATGAATAGATTTGCCCACGTACACATCAATCTCTCTTTCCTACCACTTCTAAATGAAACTAAACCTTTAGGAAGGAAAAGAACACATACAAATATGCATTTACCATTACTGTAACTCAACCCAGCCCCAAATCAGTTATCTGGTCACTTTTACTTACCATTAATGCTAGGGATTCAAGCTACACATGATGAACCCCATCCTAATCTTCAGAACTTAGAAGTTTATAGTTGTCCCAGTTGAAAGCATAGGGCAAGCTAACAAACAAGTTTACTAGTTACCTAGCAAGCAAGCACATATACATACATACTTACATACATACTCATTGTACACCTTGAGGAAAAGGGAAAGAGAAGTACCGAATGATATCCAAAGTCAACTGAACATGACTGACTAAGAAAGATTTACTGTACTTAGTTGCATTTCTATTGAGGATATTCAATGATATGAGGATATATAACAGAAAAGCAAGACTGTTTTAAATTTTCCATTGTTCAGAATGGAAATCTGATTAATCAAAGAAACAATATTATATTTATTTCCTTGTATTATAAAATTGCTTTCAACTGTCACATGAAAAAGCAAGTGTCTTACAAGATAATATACAAAACAACCAGATTTCGCAACATGATTTGAGCTTTTCTGAGTGATCTGTTTATTAAGCATTCTAGTTTTAGTGCTGAACTGAGGTTTTCTTCTCTCAGTCTGCCGAAGGATGAAGGCCTCTTAGTTCAACACATTGGTAGATTGATGTGTTTCAACTTCCCAGTATTTCAACTTTCCAATCCAGAACAACAGTCTTATACAACCAGTTTCCATGCCTATGAAAAGAGTATAACCCTAATCCTAAATCAATTATCTGAATCCTAATGACCACAATGACTCATATGTCCCAATACTACAAGGTTTGCATGTTAATATACTGTACATGGAAAGTATTCACCACAGCTATACACTGTAATTCCTGTTATGGCCTTCAAATATTATTGAGGTTAATACTGAAATAAGACTGTCAGGAAAGCATGAACGATAACACTGAATCACTTGACTCTTGACCTTGATGATTTTAAGCTTATAATAGAAAGGATATTGAAATTTAGTATAAGGCAATTTATTATGTGTAATCAAATACACTGTAAGAGATAGCACTTAGTAGCAATAGACATGAGTAATTGCTATAATATACAATCAGTTACGTCAACATGTTTTATTTTGGGAAGTATATTAAACCAATTCAATCATAACATTATTAAATTATTGGGGTATTATATCTGTTTAAAA